CCTTTATTATTGAGGTCCGGATAGGGAAATACAGGATCCGCTGGCTCACCCTGGAGAACCTCAAGCCCAAAAGATAAAGGGATATAGTCCCCCTTAAGTAGATAGAATATGGCTTTGGGTATCTTACAATAAGATCCCCATATACCCCATATTCTATCTACTTAAGGGGGACTATATGGTTTTGGCTTTAGGGTTTGAAGTTTAGCGCGAGGCTGAGGATAGCAACCACTTACCGTTTTTGAGCAGAGAATCAGGGAGTGCAATCCCCATATAATTTCTATATGATATATTGCCATATTCCCTACTAAGAACCAACAAGACTATGATGGGATCCTGGGCTTGACAAAAGAGCCTTGACAGCAAGAATTATCCACCCGGGGATTGCTGCTGTGGACCATAGCAGGACATAGCACAGTCCGAAGACTCAGTATTTGCTTTCCTTCACGCACTCAGCCACTTTGAGAGACTGCCCAATAACATTGTCATTCAAACAGGCTGACTACATGGGCCGCATGCAGATGCTTTACTTCACCATGAAGCGAGTTGCGGTTGACCGCTGCGGTACGACCCCAGTGATCTCTGGAGCGATCGCTTCCCGAGGGGACCCCTGGAGCCTTAACTTACTGGTGGCAAGTAGGGAGTAAGGAAATACGACCCCTATATAACGCCTATGTACCATATTCCCTCATCCCTACTTACCACCGGTAAATTAAACTTGCTTGGAGAAGGGGATGCGCAGAGTTCGCTTTGCAGCAGTAGTCTCTTCCCGGCACCATAGAAAAACCCTTCACCGTTATGTACAACACGATAATGGTCAGTCTCTCGTATTGAGTGCTGGGAATGTGTTGTAACAGGGCATGGGATTCCTTTGTAGCAAAAATGGGCTTTGGATGCGAATCAAGCCTGCATATGCTCACAGACCATGGGCCATGCCGTGCTTTGGAACCACCACAACTACACCCCTCTACATTAATATGGAATCCCCACCATGGGCCCTACAAAGACCAGGGTGCTTCTGAAAGTCCCATGTTAGTTTCGGGGAAGGTGCGACAGTGCACGAATGGTCTGAGTGGCTGCCTACGCGATTTCAGATACGCGTCGGAAGGGAAACCTTCCAAAGCTCGGCAGCAATATCTACAATAGCAATGACAAGAGGCTGTGGGGTATTACCTGCTTATAACATGGGTTATTCGTATACACCCTCTAAACATCCTAAACCCCAAACCCCAAGGGGTGGCTTCTATGTTCTTGCCCATCATGCCTATATAACCCCTATGTAACCCCAAACCCTAAACCCTCAACCATACATAACCCTAAACCCTCAACCCTAAACCGCGTGTTTCAAAGCAGGTGAAGGACGTCCGCGATGTCATCCAGGAGCCCATGCTTGGCGCGTCGAGGCATTACGCCTGTGCCTGCTGGAAAAGAAGAAGTCTGAAGGAATCCCAAGCAAGGTTTTGGGTTTTGGGTTGAGGGTTTGGGGTTTAGGGTTTGGAGTTGGGGGCTGAAAGAAAACCTCCGAGAATCTGTGGTAAGTGTACCGGAATTGCGGGAGCAGGCTTGTTCAAGCTTCACTCAGCTGGCCACATGCAAAACCCTAAAACCAAAACCCTAAACCTTAGACACTAAACCTTAAACCCTAAACCCTAAACCCTAAAACTTGAACCCTAAACCATAGTGCCCCCAGGGTTTGGACCTGAGCTGAAATATATTCATTGTCCGAAAATACCACCTAGTAGATCTTAGGAGGACCCCCCACCTATAAGGGATAATAGGGATTATATGAGGGTCCTATTATATCCCTATTCTACCACTATTACAGGGAGGAGGGTCCTCCTAAAGTAGATCTCTCAAGCCGCAAGTCCCAACACCCAGAGGGCTGGCAAACCTCAACACCCGAATCCCAAACACACACACAGAAGGCACCGCTGCAGTCCCGACACGCATCTAACTGGTTCCTAGTGGGGAATGAGGCCATATGGCCATATGTTATCTAGGGAATATATTCCCTTATTCCCTACTAAGAACCAGTAAGCTGTATGCACCTCTAAAACCCCTCAAAAGAATCCCCAACATGCCTTATCCTGATAGCTCAGGCCCCTGAAGCCCTGCATTTTTGGGCCTTGGCGCTCAAAGCCCCGTAGGAGCAGACCTGCATGAGAGGGGAACACGGAAAAATTGCGGTTTGGAGATTAGCGTTCAGGGATTTACTTTTACGTCTGCCCTAGGTGCAAGGGGTCCCAAAGCAAGGGTGCTACTGAACATGCGGCACCATGGTATAGGGTGTGGGAAATGGCTTTGGGGATTGAGTTTTGGGGCTTAGGGACTTCTCATAACAGGGGGTCTGTATCAGGAGGGGAGAATTTAGATCCCAGGTTTACTGCGTTTAGGCTTGGAGTTTGAGAGGACCACAAATGCGTAAAGATTTGGGCTTGATTGCCGGGGCTTGTTTATTGTTTGCCGTCTGAAGACGAAATATAGGGCTGCAGTTTTATTGTTTTCTTGGCAGCTGTATGTTGGCGTGGGTCTGAAGAATGAGCCATGACACCGCGTAGCTGTTATGCTTCAGCTTGCCGTAACACATAAACAAAAAGGTATATACAATGTATAACCCAAAATATTTATAATATAATGTAATATGCATATATATATATACGTGCAATTTATAACATGTATGGTACCCACCCCCAAGCCCACACCTCAAAGTATTCTTGACCTGCTTCAGCACTCGCCTCATCGATGTCCTTGCCTGTTGGAATGCCTGTGCTTTTTATATTCTGCATCACAAACCCTGGAAAGGAAAGTACTGTAGTGTCCCTCAAAAAGTATCCCATAGAGTGAAAGTGCTGTACTCTCCCAATTAAATCAATTCTGGAGTCCCAAGATGCTGTACTGTCCCAAAACATCTGGAGAGGTCTCCAGGGTACCACTCTAAGAACAAAGTTGCCTTCCTTTTTACGGACAGTACAGCGCTTTCGGCTCCTGAACGTTCAAAAGTGCTATACCGTCCATTAAAAGAAAAAAACATTCTCTTTGAGATGGTCTTCAGAGATCCCTTTCCCAAAATTGGTGTCTTAGCCAGTACACAACATTCAGCTGAAGATTTCTCCAGAATTGTTTTCTAAGTGTTTTGAAGGACGGTGCAGCACTTTCAGCTACAGAACCATCAAACGGCTTTATTCTCCCTAAAACGATCAATCTCCCTAAGATACCTTGGAGACCTCTCCAGATTTTGCTTTACTTTTGTAAGGGGAAGTACAGCCCTTTCAGCCTATGAGAATGTTTTGTAGGGGCAGTACAGCACGTTCAGCTCCTGAACCTTTAAAAGTGCTGCAGCGTCACTAGAAGTCAATCGCGGAATCCAATATTTGAGGATTTCGGCATCCGTCCCAATGAAATTTAAAGAGGGGTGCATATGGACCAGAACCAACTCAAAAACCAAGAGTCCAGGATTCGAGGATTTCATGCACATGGACCAGAACCAGCTCAAAAACCAAGAGTCCAGGATTCGAGGATTTCAATATTTGTTCTGATTGAAATTAACAAGGGATTCATTTGAACTGGAACCCTCTCAAAAGCCAAGAGTTTGGGATCAGAATTTGTACTAACCAATTTTCATAAAGGATGTATACGGACCACTAAAACCAAAACTCAGGATCCAAGGAGTTTGGTACTCATTCTAATCAAATTTACGAAGGGATTTCTATGGACTGGAACCAACTCAAAAGCCCAGAGTCCAGGATTCAAACAAGGGTTTAGGGTTTAGGGTTTAGGGCAAGGATGTCGGCATTCACGCTAATTGAGTTTACGTACTGGGGGGAAGTATGTGCACAGGACCTAGCTCAACAACAAAGGTCCTAAGATTCCAGGAATTCTGAGTTCGGTATTCTTTCTCGCTAACCTTTATGCAGGGCTTTTACTTTGG